TCATTTTCACAATGGAGACATTTTACAGATTGTTCAAAAACAAAACATCAAGTTAATGGAATGAATCGGACATATCAACCGGCCGTCGTGGAAAAAAACACATTGGTGGACATGTAGCAGCCGACCATACAGTGACATGCGAGGAGTTTATAAACCGTGCTGCTGGCTCTGCGTACCTGAACCTTCCAGAAGATGAGTCGATCCCAGATACTGTCTCTCCTCACGATGCCTCTCCTCATCTCTGCCTCCTTCCTCCTGGAGGCGAATCCCAGCAGCCAGTGCTTCAGGGAGCTGTTGGCCTGCCCAAAGATCTACACCCACACCCCCCCCCCCCCCCCCACCCACACACACACACCCCCCCACACACACACACACACACACACACACACACACACACACACACACACACACACACCATAATTAGTAGGAACAGCATCATCCCCCTCCTTTATCTTGATGCTACATTCATGCAAAATGGTGCTTACGGTGAAGTCTTGAACATTCACCAGACTCAGGAGCAGTGCCGACACCGCCCACCACCTACCTTATCATACATTCTGTTGAGCAGTCGGGGAACCACAGGAAACACAGTGGGTTTCAGTGTGTTCAGGTCATCCGCCAGCAGGCGAATGTCTCCCTGGAAAAAGCCAATACTGGCTCCGTGCACTATCATCACTCCCTGTCAGCAATATCAGAAAGATAGAGAGGGGATGAGTTAAGAAGTCACCAGAGCTTAGTATGCAATGAAAGGGAGGTTAACACACAAGGGTTTGCAGGAATAATGTTTGGTCTTAAACAAAAAGGGCGACTATGGGAACTAAGGCAACAAACAATACCTGGACTACTCTCTCAAACATATGAGCCAAGGGCAGGAAGGAAATATGGACGTCACTGTGAGACAATGGACAGGAAACCTAAAACACGGCGTGCACACACAGACAGGAAGAGAAACACACACACACACACAGTTGTACAGACACACACACACACACACACACACCGATGGACATGAACCAGACAGGAAGGGAAAACAGTCAGTGGTTGTACCTCCACCACCCTCTCAAACATGTGGGCCAGAGGCAGAAAAGACAGCAAGACATCCTCTGAGGTGGTCTTGGCGTAGGACTGGAGAGAAGAGGGGAGAGTTCATCAACAAACACTGATAATGTTTCATTAGTGGTTCTTCCTCTTTCAATAAGTTGGCACATCTGGATATGGATTTGGAGGAGGATTTGAGGTATTTTTAACCAACAAAGCTCAATCTGCACTAACCTCCTTTTCTTACATTGCTGTCTATCCTATGCTTTCACTGCATCGCACTATGTTCCTTCTGAGTTTCTCTGAATTCACGTTTTTAATTTCTGGTTTCTCCTTTGCTTTGTTCCTCAGTAAATCTGTTTTAGTACCGCAGTGAAAACTGTTTTGTCAGTTACAGTCATGTTATATTATGAGTAATTATAAGAGGTTTTATGTATTTTTTATTTCGGCGAAGGAAAGATAGAGGTAGAGTAGGGAGTAGGGGAGGAACAGAAGAGGTAGAGAAGGGAAGAAGGTATAGAAGGAAAGGAAGAGGGAGAGGATGAGATGGAAAAGGAAAGGAGGAGGTGGATATAGAGAGGAGGAGGTGGAGGAGGAAAGGAGGAGGTACAGCAGGAAACCCTTTGATTGAAATCCTTTAAAAGTCCTCCTAATAAAGGAGCTCTGACTGTTTCACTGTAACTTTAACAGCTCAAGAATCACACTCACCTCCGTTATTTTGATGAAGGCTGAGCAGTTAGACACAACATTTCTATGTGTCAACATAGCTCCCTTTGGGTTTCCTGAAAGTACACACACACAAACCATTTCTTTAGAGTTTAAGTGTATATGTAAGGTGTATTTAAGATACTGATGGAAATTGTATTGGGTGAAACTCATGTGTGTGTGTGTGTGACCTGTTGTTCCACTGGTGAAGCAGATGAGAGCCATGTCCTCAGGTCGTGGAGGCTGCAGGGAGTCGATGGTCAAACGGTGCCACAGAACACACATCGTCACCATTAGAAGTATTAACTGGTAATAGCTCTTTGACAGGATACTGTTTACTTACCACTGGTTGGTGATGGTTGGCCTTCCCAATGGCCTGCACAACAAGAAAAGCACATTAATGAAGCCATTGTGGATGAGATCAAGTGACAGAGAAAATGACAAGAACACAGTAATAACAAGAATATCTAGATAACAAAACATAACAACTGGAATGAAGGCACCACAAGAAGAAATCTAGCCATAATAGTTTTTAACGGGTTTATAAAGGGTCATATAGGTGGCCATCACATTATGGCTCCCCGTCAGGGAACCGAATATTTCCAAACTAAGTGAAGAGAAAAATAAACAACTGAACATAGAAAAAAGACAGAGGAATTAAGGGACAGAAGAAAGACCTGCTGACCTCCATCTCCTGCAGGCTGAGGATGTGGATTCCAGCCTGCTGCCCCCTGTGGACCAGGTCCACACTGGGGGTCTCCATCAGAACGATGTTTTTCACAGAGTGCTTCCTGTCCCGGACACAGTCCAGCACCAGGTTGGCTTTATCTACCACGTCGCACACGATGGTCGAGATGGAGGCTGCAGAAACAGATCAGCTCACACGCAGTTCTTCACCACTAAAACACTGCCATATAAGGGCATTGATGATGTCATTGTGATGTCACTGCTGGGGTTTACCTTTGTCTATAATGTAGCCGATGGCTTCTGTTCCCAGTGTGTCGTACAGAGGGACTGCCACCAGAGAATAGGTGTAACATGCCAGCTCACTGATTGTCCACTACACACACACACACACACACACACACACACACACACACACACACACACACAGGCAATAGCAGATAAGACACTAATAAGATTATAAATAGACTGTACACAGGAAGTATATTGATACCATGGGTTCAGTGATGTACACTGTGCCTACAACTTGAGACCCCTTTTTGGTCCTTTTTCCTGTTCATATTTTGGCTAATTAGCACCATTTAAAGTAAGCTGAATTGGCTACTAGCAGTTCCTTTATCCAATGTACAGACAACTATAACTGGATTACTTTGATCCTGAAGAAAACCTAAAAATGTGATGCTAAGCAGAATCTTTGACGTTTATTCACAATGGACATCGGACATCATGATATCCTCTGAAAACTGTAAGTCACACTGAATCTAAAAATATGCATGTGTGTCTATGTAATGGGTCAGTGAAGCAGTGTGATATTAAAGCGATCAGGCTCGATGGGTAAAGGTCGTCTATACCTCAGGTCTGTTCTGAGAGAAGATGCCAACGTGGGGGTCTGTGTTCTTGGAGTGTCCTTTGTGAAGAAATGCTGAACCCAGATTCTCTGTTCGCTCCATTACCTGACACACACACACACACACATACACACACACACACACACACACACACACACACACACACACACACACACCCTTTGTTCAGCCTCATTAAATCAATCATAAGGGCACAGGGCATATGCCATGTGTGGTGACTTTTGTATCAATACCAAACACTCACATGCACGGTTACTACCACAGTAAACATGTCAGAGGCCACTGGTTTTACAGCAGTTGTAATCAGCTAGTAAAACATGGCGATCACTCTGCTGGAATGTCCCATTAATATTTCACTTTGATTACGGCTCAAACTGAATTAATGTTTTACTAGTGAGACAACTTGTAAACAAATCTGTTCCCTGTTAAAAAAATATAGCGTTGGTAGTTGGAGAATGTAATCATGAATGTTACATTTAAATGGGGTAATAGATTGATTTAGTGTTGCTCTTCCATGAAGCTGGAGGACTCGAGATTTTTTATTTATTTTGAATGATCAAAATCTATGTAGCAGAGGCCTAGATGTTCTGACTTTAGAGCCTAGTGTGGGTCAAACTGAAAACATACTGGATCCCACACGTCCCATAATGCACCTCGATCGCACTTTTTCTGCCCATGACCTTTAAACTCCACAACCCCATTTTATAACACAGGCTTTCTGTTATTAATGTATAAGCTGCCAGCTGTGACAACCCTCTCTGAACAGGCCTCTTCAGAGAGGAGACCAGTGACACTATAATAAACGTTTTAGTTCTTCTACTCTTCATGTGGTCTCCTCCTTTGTGTAGCCTTGAGCCGGGTTGTGACGTAGCTGTATCTGAGATAACCTTGACGACATCATCCGGGTTATTTTCTCCTCCAGAGCCACAGAAGACAAAGAACTATTCTCACAGACGGAGTAGTACTCCTCACATGTTAAAAGTACTACAAGGCATGTTTAATTAGTAATGGAACAGTCTAAAGTGTTTCCTGATACGTCTATATGACCTACATAAGTAAACAAGAACATCAACTAGAAGACTGGCGCTAAAATGGGTTGAATGAAGCTAAGTTTAGCTGCATCTGTCAACCAAAGCAAGGGCCCCAAAGTAATGTGAAGCTCTTATGACTATGAAGACTATGAAGTTGCATCTTTCTTGCATTAGCCAGATCAAGATTTTTACGACACGAGGCAGTTGTGCTCACGGGAAACGCAGTCTTCATTCCGTGAAAAAAAACTTCCGCTTTCGTCCTCAGGGGACGCCAAAAAATGAGAGTTCCTTGTAGCTGCTTTAACCGAACTTTATGTGTAAAACTGGAGAAATGCCCCGTTATCAGTTCCAAAGCTAGAGGAAATACGATTCATTAAATAAGCTACATTAGACACTAAATTCATACATGAAAACCACCACTGTGTCGCCCCACTAAGGCTACAATGTGTGACTCTCACCTCTCTGTAGGACATCCAATCGTACGGCTGTTTTGGTTTCCTGGAGCCCAGACAGGGACCGTTATCTTCAGGATTACCGGAGAGCGGCCGGGGGGGGGGGGGAACAGAGAATTAGAGAAAGAAGGAGAGAAATTAATAAACAAAGATCTTTTTACGTATATTAATCCACCTTCTTATCACACATACGTACATACTGTACCTTCCTAGCCCGTATACTCTGCTGCTGACATATAAGCACATGTTTTTGTAAAAACACACATATGGTTCTGGGCAGCTGTTAAACTATGTTGTTTATAGTGGTGGCAACATGTTGTGATGTAACCAGGGAAGACTGCTGACTCGAGACTTTGGAGCTTATAGTGTTCAGTAAAGTGCAGGGTCAAAGAACACGGCTCAGTCATTGAAGTAAACCACAATAAGTGAAAAGATTCAACAATTAACAAAGTACAATGTGCTCTAGTTTAATTCATGTTTAAACCACGTGTATGAGGAAAGGCTTCTTTACTTTTTGGGCTGACAGCCTGGAGTAGCTAAAATAAATATGACGTATCAATGTATTTTTGACTTACTGGAGACTCGGACTCCTCTGAGGAAGAACTCATACATTGTCCTGGCATCGTTGTAAAAGTGTGACATGTTAGCGTCTCCGTTCAACAGAACTGATCGGCGTGCCAGCTCTCCACCCTGACGAAAGAAACAAAGATTGATCCGACATCAGCTTCAGTCTCTTGCTCGGATGTTTCATCCACATACAGCTACAGTTCGGTTGATTGTGGGGCTAGCTGAGAAATAGTGCTGAGTCATTGCACGTGGACTTTTCCAGGTCTAGGTTGCTACAGTGATTGACAAACATACATCATGCAGTAGTGTCTTGATGGCTGAGGAAGTTGAACTGTTTTTGCTTTTTTTTTTTTTTGGATTTGTTTCTTCAAATTAAGAAAATTGACTCATCAGTCTACATTCTGCATGTAACTGTTTCTTTTTACAAAATACACACTGTTCATTTGGGACATACAACTGACCCTCTTGCTCATGTACCTGCTGCACAAAGGATTTTGTGTCACAATAGATATAGTAGTTGTGGGCCGACATACTGCATTTGGCACACTGTGTATTGGGACACACTAAATCACACAGCAGTCCTCTTCACGCATCCGTGCATTAAACTCACCGGAACCTCAACGGACTGCATACAGAGGTCACAAACCGGTGGGAGGGCCTTGGGCCGTGTTGCCAGGTAGTAGGTTGTCGCAGCAGCCACGGCCCCCACGCTGACCAACATCGGGGTGGAGACATTCCTGATGTATTCGCTGACATCGTCCAGATCTGGCAACTTGAGCTTCTGCAGGAAGCCCTGGCTCAGCATGATGCTGCTGATGAGATACAAGGGGAGTGTATGTTTGTGGAGAGTGTACCCGTTTGTGAACGTGGGTGGAGTGGAGGATTGTGGGTGTGTTGGGTATGTTTGATGGCCCTGAGGTGAGGTGAGGAGTGTGTGTTGTAGGACGGAGTATGTGAGGCGGGAGGCTGGCCAGGAGGGGACCTAAAGAGAGGAAGAGAAGACCGCTCATTCATTTGTTTACATTTATAAAGTTGTCACTTCAAGTCATTTTAATCCGTCATTTTTTTAGGTGTGTTACTTATAAGATCCCACATTCTGTGTGTTTGTACTGTGCTTAGTTAAATCTTTACACAATTCTACCCTCTAGTAATGAAGTTGTTGAGTTATTTCTGTCAGGACCAAAGTGATGGACTGACAGAGCCCTCCCTAGAGCCTAGCCTGGCTAAAAAGGACAAATCTTGTGTATTGTGTAAGAAGTGGATGTAGTCACAGTCGTTTGTGGACTGCCGTTTTGAGAATCCCCGAGTTCAGCATCCTGGCTGTCAACATTTTGTTTTTTGGCAACCAGAAGTGACACGAGAGGGTGGAGCTGATGCTGCGTTAACTTTCAACTGGGAAGTCGGTATTTCAGAGTTCCCAGTTGGAAATTTAAACTAGACCGATTCTATATAGGGCGGCCAGCTGCAGGATGATAAGCTAAGGGCTGATCATCATGCAGCTGGCCGCCCTTGGGGAGGGTGTATAGTGTTGAAAGGCCGAAACACTCAATGACACAAGGGAACATTACTGACGATGTGTTCTGGGCCCAACTGTCCCGAAATTCTACAACCTAAACCAAACCAAGATACACCCCACACAAGCCGGAAAACCCCCACTTGTCGATCGTCAACCACTCAAAACAAGGTTAATTTCCTGGAAGTGCTCACCACCTTGGCACAGAGGACAGACAAACATCATGTCCTGTGTTTTTTGATTCTAACCAAAAACATTCTGTGTTCATGTCGGACACCATCTCTCTTTTTTCAATTCTTGAATCCACGCTCACTGAAGGTCGACCTCCAGCAAGACGGTGTTTCTACAGCCTGCTCTCTTTGTTCTGCTGCTACTGCTGTAGAATAATAACAGCGGCGCACACTGTAGTGTAATTACATCATGTATCGTATGTTTAACAGACTCTCTGAGGACAAGTTGAGCAGGTTGTGTTTAACAGGTGGGGAATAAGGTTCTCAGTGTGGCGACACACACACACACACACACACACACACACACACACACACACACACACACACACACACACACACAGGTGAGGCGACGGAGCAGAAGAGCTGTTTAAGAATAAACAGATTAGAAACTGAGTGTGAGGTCTTTATGTAATACGGGGACAGGTCCACCTCCATGTGAACCTTGGGGATGAAGACAATGTCCTGGAACAACTAGTTCTACTGAACGCCTGCATTTGACACCAAAGCTTAGCAAATCAAATCAGTCTCCATTAGCATACGGAGGAGACAGACACATGGTGAGTCTCTTACTGTCATTCCCCTCTTTGTTGCAGTGAATATTCACTGATGATGAGTGCATGTGAAAAGCACTTACATTCTCATAAGCCCCTTAGTTTACATGTTAACTTGTTGGCAATGATATCACATCACAGAGAGGATTTTGGTCAGTTGTATTTGTCTCATGGTGACACAATAACGTAATATAACATCTGTAGGAGGGTTTCCTTTTTGCATTTTTAAAGTAATCCTTTCTTCTCATTTTGAAATGAAATATTTTTTTAAATACTATTAGCGTTAAAATGATCCCATGTCATCACCAGCCACTGTGGCCACAAGCGACAATGAGTTAATGTTATACTATGATGTAGAGTAGCATAAGTAGAGAGACATATCGTCGGTTTCAGAGCTATAACGTTAACATTAACAAACACTCACCACCACAAGCTACTGGTCATACCAGAAGGTTACCAATGAAACTTTTCGCTTGTGATGGGAAGATTATGTTCTTTCTAAAGTTCTGCTTCAAGTTTGTCCATTTTTGCCTCAAGTGTGGGTAAAGCTTCCAGTTCACTTTACCACGGTTACAGGTTCAAAACTACAACATAGCTTACACACAACACATAAAACTCATAGCTGCTGTGAATGTCACCGGATCAAAGACATTCAACACATTTTATCAATTGGAGGTATTTGCCACAAATCAACTCTTCCACAGTCACTGAGATACTTCAAACTGTGCCAACTTCTGAGCTGGATCAACCCGTACAAGACTACACCCGCGTGCAGTAGGTTTAAATAACTGCACGCAGACAGATGAGATGACGATCGTGTTGTTTTTACCTTCTATAAGAACAACACAGAGCTGTTTCTGTACGTCAGTGTACCGTTCTATTCTTTTGAATCCCCCCCCTCACCTGTAATAGTGAGACAGTGGCTTTCCTTTAGCTGAACGTCCACCGACAGCGACCGCGGGAATGCTGTTGTTACTGCTGCTGCTACAGCAACTGGCCCACTCGCTCTGCTCTCCACGGTGGACACACAGATATTATATATATACATATATATATATAAACCATTGGGACAAAACACCCAGCAAAGATTCTGTTACAAGGTACAACTCAGCTAATCTTCCAATCAAAGGTCACACTTGCTCCATAGAGGGCTCTGATTGGCTGCTCACGGCAAGATGTTCGGCCTGATTGACTCGGTGTAAACAATCAATAAACGTACTAATCCACAGAGAAGATCAATGAGATAGTAAAAGCTGGAAGATCAATCACTCTGAGTTTGGGATCTTTGTAATTGCTGTTACCAACACAGTAAAATATATAGCATATCTTATACCACAATAGTGTATTGTACATGAACACAGCCCCGTTCATCTGTAGCTTCCATGGGACATGAATAGAAATGGGACTTCCTAACTGAGTGCTTTGTAAAAGCCACCAGGTCAAAGCAGCGGCCTGGTCGCCTCACCTTTCCCCCAGTGACCTGCGACCCAGGTGTGGGCTGCTGAGATGATTAGGCGAGAGTGAGATAAAAGCTGATCAAAGGAAAAACTGCAGAGAGGAAGCTGTCCTGTCGACTCAGCGCGTTGTGGCGTATACTGTTGTTGCTTTCACATCGGGTCTGTGCTTAGAGTCCATGAGGCTAATTAATGTCCCGAAATACTGAAAGGTTAGATTTACAATTTCTTAAGTCCTTAAATTGCTGGTTTTGTCTGACAAACAGCCCTACACTGACAATATTCAGCTAAAAAACAACAAATCCAATGCTGTGCATGGTTACAGTTCAGTTAAATGGGAATACTTTAAAACCAAAAGGAACAAAGCACCAACATCTTCTTTTTCATTGTGGGCAAAAACAAACGCGTTTCAGCTAGAACTCATCTGGGACGGCAGTTTATACACAAATGGGTTTCAAACAACAATCAGTATTGCTTTTGTAAAGTTTTAAATCGGTTGATTTTTAAAAAAGGACAAATTTGATATTGAATCCGAGCTTCACTTCCCTCAGAAATGTCTGTCCCTTTGAGAACCTAAACACCATCACAGAAATGTACTTTCGTTTCAGACTGTGGTATCACATACATTCTTCAGCTCAATCAGTCGGTGATAGCGTACCTTCACTGGATCAGCTGACTGAGACTGATATACATTGTTTTCTATAATAATATTATCATAAATGTATTGAAATACAGCACACCTTAGGCAGGGTAGGAATTGGAAATACTGGTTGGTTTCTGGGACTCATGGTTGTGTTATCTTACATTAATGACTTTACTTTTTACCTTTGCTTCTTGATTGTCGAATAATTACACATTTGTATGTATTGTTTGAAAAAATGTTCTGCATACATTTTAAGCATATGTTAATATTTGTTCAGTGCTTTGGCATCACTGTGTATCAATATGGGTGTGCCAATGAAGAACTAAATAATGGTGGGAAGTAACTAAATACACATTTACTCAAGGGCTTTGATGAGAGTAGTTCCGTTTCATGCTTCTATATACACTGCTCAAAAAAATAAAGGGAACACTTAAGCAACACATCCTAGATCTGAATGAATGAAATAGTCTTATTAAATACTTTGTTCTTTACATAGTTGAATGTGCCGACAATAAAATCACACAAAAATTATCAATGAAAATGAAATTTATTAACCCATGGAGGTCTGGATTTGGAGTCACACTCAAAATTGAAGTGGAAAAACACACTACAGGCTGATCCGACTTTGATGTAATGTCCTTAAAACAAGTCCAAATGAGGCTCAGTAGTGTGTGTGGCCTCCACGTGCCTGTATGACCTCCCTACAACGCCTGGGCATGCTCCTGATGAGGTGGCGGATGGTCTCCTGAGGGATCTCCTCCCAGACCTGGACTAAAGCATCTAAACTAAGTGTTCTCTGGCAAATGCCAAACGTCCTGCCCGGTGTTGGGCTATAAACACAACCCCCACCTGTGGACGTCGGGCCCTCATACCACCCTCATGGAGTCTGTTTCTGACCGTTTGAGCAGACACATGCACATTTGTGGCCTGCTGGAGGTCATTTTGCAGGGCTCTGGCAGTGCTCCTGCTGTTCCTCCTTGCACAAAGGTGGAGGTAGCGGTCCTGCTGCTGGGTTGTTGCCCTCCTACGGCCTCCTCCACGTCTCCTGATGTACTGGCCTGTCTCCTGGTAGCGCCTCCATGCTCTGGACACTACGCTGACAGACACCGCAAACCTTCTTGCCACAGCTCGCATTGATGTGCCATCCTGGATGAGCTGCACTAACTGAGCCACTTGTGTGGGTTGTAGACTCCGTCTCATGCTACCACTAGAGTGAAAGCACCGCCAGCATTCAAAAGTGACCAAAACTTCAGCCAGAAAGCATAGGAACTGAGAAGTGGTCTGTGGTCACCACCTGCAGAACCACTCCTTTATTGGGGGTGTCTGTCTTGCTAATTGCCTATAATTTCCACCTGTTGTCTATACCATTTGCACAACAGCATGTGAAATTGATTGTCAGTGTTGCTTCCTAAGTGGGCAGTTTGATTTCACAGAAGTGTGATTGACTTGGAGTTACATTGTGTTGTTTAAGTGTTCCCTTTATTTTTTTGAGCAGTGTACTTGTACTCCATTACATTGTATTTGTACAAAGAGAGCTCCGTTCACTTCACATTGATTTACGTTGTGCATACATTCATATGTTTTACAGGAGCACCTTGTTCCAAAAGTAAATCAGTCGAATATTCTTCATCGACTGCAAAATCAAAGTTGTCCTGATCGCCTGTGGCACTTGATCCGCTTTAAGCGCAGCGCGTGCATAACGAGAGCAACACCAGACAGAAGAGAGGGGGAGACACGTGTGTGTGTGTGTGTGTGTGTGGGGGGGGGGGGGGGGGGGGGCATGCATACCAAGGAACCAATGAAAGAAGAGTGGGGTCATAGATGTCAGCCAATCAGACACGAGTCACCTTTCACCTCAAAACCTGTCATGGAGACCCCAGTCGTCATATTGTACAGTCTCTGTCCACCTGTCTAATGTTTTCTATGCAAATATATTTCCACAGAATAGTATTTTATCTTTACTGCAGTAATGCATACTAACACACACACACACACAGAAGCCAGCCACCGCAATGCAAATCTATGCAGAACCGGCCGTTAACATAATATCTCACTACCGTTGGACTTTCAACGGTAGTGTTGAGATATTATTGATATTATTGAACAGTCTGGACTAGTGTAACTCATGGAAAACAAAACCTTCGCTATTCATTCTCAGCTCCAGCGTAACCTTCTGACAGCAGTGACGGGACCCAAAAGTTCAACTGCAGAACCGTTAAAACAGCAACATGAACGGAAAACCCGGTTCAAGCTTTAGAAAACAGGGAGCGAGCTCGTGCAGAATCCGTTAAATGTGCCTGAAGCCATTTTGACGTAAAGACGTGTAACTAACAGCAGCATTACAGCAGCATTTTAACCGTCTATCAATTAACGCTACACTTTAACTAGTGAACTACAACTGGTTTACCGCGCAGACAAATACAAATACACAAAAATATGTTTGGTTCAATATTAATACACCAACAATAACTGGTTAGTTTGAAGTAAGTTACTTCCCACCTGTTAGCGGATGTTCTCCCCAGCTTCTTGTTGGTCCTGACCACGCGCAGCTAAGAGTGTAAAAAAACTACTTCCGGATATAATATTTCAAAATAAAATCTGTTCTCACGAGTAATAAACGCTACATGGCAGTAAGAGTGTAATAGGATACACTATTCCATTTGGGAGTCTGAAGTAATCACAAATACGACTGTAGTATTCCCAGATTGTCTTTTGACGGCGAAAGGGTTGTAGGATATTTATTGTTACACTTTATTTTGAAGGCATAATAGCCTGATTTCCGGTCCATATATACCAAAGAGGCGTTGATATGTCGTGAATTGCCAAGCCGTGGTCCAACCGCAACGGATCAAACATTGATAAATCTCAGTGCGGTCTAAATTTGATTAACATTATATCTCTCTTTACAGCAACCACTGAATGTATGACTGCATGACGTGATGCCACTTTTGTTGTACAATCAGCACATTTAGGACACAGTGGTCATCGGATTGGACAGTGTGGTTAGCACTTGGACAAAGTGTAGTGCATGAGTTGTTTTGTCTTGCAGAGTCCGTCTCTGATCTGAAGTTGCTGAGTAGCAGATAGTAATATCTAACCTGGAGTGTCCTGAGCTGTGCACATTCCTTTGTACTTTGAAAAGTACACTAATCGCCTGTGGCACTGTTTCTTCAGTGTAAAGCGTTACTTACATCTGACACACAAAAAAGACATAAGAAAATTGGAAATGATTCATGAATGATCACTCGCATGCAAATAAACCCCACAATTACTCACTGTGTGATAATGTATTTGTTTTGTACCTTTTAATAATAAGAAAGGTTCAACAACAGTACAATAAATTAAGACTGATACAAATCTAAAACCCTAGTGGAAAAGAAAGCGGCATCATCCATCTTTCTAGTCACATTAAAGTCGTGCAGGTATTCATCTCCTTCTGTTGGTCAGCTGGTTGTTTTAAACAAGACTTGTTTTTAAATTCCTTGGAACACTGTAAAATTCACATTTAAAAGGATTGTTTTTTTTAATCATTACGTCTGCTTTGTTTTTCAACTAACTCGTCCTGATAAAATATTTGAATGAACAAAAGTATTGACAATCTCTCTGGAGATGAGTCACTGGAAGTGTTGTGTAAATGTTATCAACTGCAATACAAACAATGAAAATGATACAGTAATTAAAAAAAACACAATTCATAAATAACACATTTCATGTGTACACTACGTTTGTTTTTACAGACTGCAGAATAAACAAGGTGCAGCTGCGAAGTATAAAAATGAGACTTCTTGTGAATCATCATCAGAAGTTGCAGCACAGAGAAAATGAACAGAAGTCATTGTTCAGTTGTTTAGCTGCTAATTTACAGTGGAATAACAAATATTATATTATGTCACAGCATTCTGTAGGCAACACACAACCTCCATCTTTTTTTTTCCCCAACACATTAAAAACATAAAAATGAAACTGTGAACAAATACATTTCATATACTTCAACTGTTTGAAGCCTGCTTGGAGAAAAGGTCTCGACTGATGCAGATCGATCCACTTTGTAGGGATGTTCACATTCCTCTGTAGCTTGAAATAAAGATCTGTTTTGTTCCAGTGTTACTAAAAATAAACATGCTTTACTTCTTCAAAATGCATTTTTAACATATTTAACTCGTTCAATAGTTGAAAGTGGACAAAACGTCTCTTGAACCAGAGGAAGAATAGTTCTGGCTCAGATAAGTCTGCTGACAGGGAGGTTCTGAGAGAACCGTCTTACATCACAGTGCTCGGAGAACTATCACGATACGAAGAAGATCATCGTATCACCAATGAAGCAGTCCTAAATTCAGAGGCGGTTGAGCTTTCTGTGCAGTAATACCATCATAGTTACTGATGTTTAAAATAGCTGTAATACATTGAATATCTAGGGAAATACATGTCAGAAATGCTGATGCAGATTAAAGTCATTAAAAATTATAATTCGGCATGTGCCCCAGTTTCCTTATGGTCAGCTGAGGAAATTCTTCCAGTGGTTGGTTTGAAAGTCGATGGGACAGAAGAAAGATATTGCTGCTGCGAGGCCATTTCTTTGGTCACTTTCAAACTGAAATACTGACAGACATGTAAAGCCATGTAGGCCGGATAACTTTCATTTTGTTTTTATGTCCCTTGTTCTTCAAGAAGCACTTTGTGACAAATATTACACATATGAGAATAGAGTTTTGTTTTTCTTTCATTCTTTGCTCCTCACACGTTTGTGAGTCCGTTGGCCTTGCCGTTGCTTTTCCGTGTTTATGTCCAGTGTGTACTGTGTGCTTAACAAGCCCTTTACGACGGAGAAGGGAAGTGCTTTAGACTGATAGAAGTGCAGTGGTCAGCGGGGACAGAAGGGGCAGTGAATGCCCCCCGTCAGGTCAGTGATGGCTCCCTCTCTGACTAGGCTCTGCAGGAGCTCAGTCTCTCTGTTCACGTTGTGGGATGTCTGCTTCAGCATGGTGGCCATGGGCAGCCGGTCGTAGTAGTGCAGCGGCGCCCTCTGCTGGGACAGCTGGTAGCCGAAGCCTGCCAGGCTGACCTCGTCACACAGCCGGCTGGCTAAGTTCAGTGCGGAGACCCCAATGGTGGGCACATTCTGTAGAGAGAAAAGGGGACAAACATTATGTCATCATTTCTTCACTAACTTCTTCTTCTTCTTGACTCAAACATCATACTTTTCACAGACTGTAAGGGAAAACCGGTCAAATTTAGAAAAGATGGCACCTCAACAATAGACGGGTGGTATTACAGTGTACTATATTTGGAAATCCAGACATTATGATTTTCAATACCGACATGAATACAGACGCTGCACTTTCTATGATGCAGTATTTATGTGATGTATTGTAATGCACATCAGGCACCACCAGAGGGCGCTCTCTATGTTGTAATGAGTGGCAACAGCACAGTTTGCATTGCTTGATTCCAGCTGCTTTACCTCGGCTGTTAGAACAGACAGAGTTAATCCCCAGTACGGGACGAGTCTATTACCTGGTCGCTTCCCCACAGGCGTGTTCTGGGTGGAGGGTATTGCAGTAGGTCCAATGCGGTCTCTCTGATGACATGAGGGTTTAGAAGTCTGAACCTGTGGGGTTCTAGAGCCATTCGATCTGGAACCTTCTGCCAGAAGAAGAGCCAGTCCCAGAGCGGCTGCAACACAAAGCACACAACTCTAAACTCAAACTGTGCAGGCTTTTCTTTTCTTTTCTTTTCTTTCTTTTAAACATAAATAACTATTTCTCAAGATTACGGATCAGGTGTTTGAATCTTGATCACACAAGTACTATATTCTGTGATGTCATCAAGAAGAGAACCATGAGGAGGAACAAGCCAACATGAAAGAGTGACTGTAAATATGTCCACGTTTAGCAACACTACTTTATGAACATTATGCCTGGAAACGGTTTATACTTTCAGCTACATTTATTGGATTTTTGTTTTCTACTTAGGTATTCGTTGGACTCTATTTCCCATGTTTGTGACTAACCAGTTTCAAAAACGTTTTTGAAACTGGTTCAGTATTGAGCGCCTCAAATGAAGCTCTAGCGTAAGTTCAAACACGAAGACTTTACTCTTGCATGCCTAAGCCCATAGCTTATTCACCATACATCTGCCATCACTCATACAGGCACACTCATTATTTCCTTGCTGTTATTGTTCGGGGCTGTCAATCATATCAGCTGTCTAGATCAGCTGGTCTCTCTAGCCAATAGCACAACGACATCGTTAGCCTATCATCTTGCTGCTGTCTTTCTTTAAATATGAGTGTTTGGACTCCACGGGGGGATTTACGTATATTGTTGCCGCTCAGGGCAATCACAACACGATCACAAACCTCCTAGGTCGAGTTCAAGCACCAAAGGATGTCTGTGTAACTGATTAACACAGCATCTGTCATAATAAATGTTAACCACTAACCATTCACTTGTCTCTCCTAATTGAACTGGCAGCCGCTAAACGGGCTGTAATGTGATCCACTAAAAGTGCTCGTTGTTACTCAGATTGTTGTTAGAAGTGTCTGACAACCTCATGGAAATGAACCTACAGAGAAATAAGACGCTTTTCTTTTCCTTCGCTTTCTGTTTGTTGTTGTGTCATGTGACTCGTGACGGTTGGAGAGAGGAGCAGCCGTCCCTGGCAGAGTTTGTTGTGTTGGAGTACAGAAAGCGTGGCTTAGTGTTTTCTAAAAGATTTTTGATGTCACGGCTGAATATTTAGCTGATTTTGAAAATGTGGATGCGACACGAGATTTCAGAAGCAGCACTTGGTCAGACCCGATCACCTGAAGGGTAAAGAAGGACGTTAAATGTATTTCCATGAGACACAGACAACCTGAGCCTGGCTCTACCTCGTCCATAACAAGCCCTTTCTGACATGTAGTGTGAGAGCGCTTTGAGAACAAGTCCATTGTACGTTGATGGTGAGCGATTACGTCACAGCTCGTTTAGCTGCTGCTGCGTTCTCCCTCAATACTGGACCAATGTAAAAAGTTGTTAGCTTAGACACTAAAACATGAAACCCTTTCATCTTTTAATGCCTTCAGTCCACATTCAAATTCAGATCATTAATTAATGAAATTGATACTTTGAACTTTCACTCGGACTTTACTCCTGTACTCCAGGAAACAAAACACAATAAAATAACACGCAATGATAAAACTAATTGATGAGATTTCTTTGTTTTTGATCCAAATGCTGCATTAAAATGACAGAGATTGACGGTGTTCTGAACAAATTAAAGTATTGTTCCGTTATTTAAAACTTGGGTCTGAATGAACTGCATCCCTCATGTCTGATTTTCTAATCAAGACAAATGTTATTAAAACAACACACACTCACACCCACACCTACTCACCACAGAGAACTTGTTGATCATGGCAGAGATCCAGCTGATGTCCACACCTTTATACACGACAGCAACAAACAGAGCGTGTGGGTCTGTGTCGATCCAGTGCGGAGGTGTGCCCTCTGGGTAACTCATCCGGATGCTGGTTCGATTCCCGACGTCAACGCTGAACTCTCCCAGAGGACCACTATTCAACCTGAAGGAGGGAGCCACAGAGAGCAATTCATTGTCGTCAGTGTCAGTGATGATAATAATTACCACATGTGGATTATCACGGTCATAACATTTGTGTTTCTAACCTGATAATGGTGTCAAACCGGTCGATGAGTTGACCCAGCTCCAGGCCTCGGAGAATGCCTCCATTTCCCAAGACCACACAGCGCCGACATTCATCTGATGTCTTCTCTGTCTGGGGCTCGGAGTCAGAGTCTGGCAGCTTGAAGAGGAAAGACAGAATCACAGACAGAATTGTCAGGTTTACAGGAGCATAAAGATGCACTTTTGGTCGGTTTTATTTGTCAATTAAGAATTTAGGTGTGAATTTAGTACTGAGCCTGCTGACATGTAGCATGTAGCTGATTACAGTGGCCCTCAGTTTGTGAGCATTGGGGGTCTGAACCCTGAGAGAAAAGTTTAGATAAGCACTCCCAAAGATGAAGGTGCAGCCAGAAATCATTATTTTAGCAAATAGAACTCGTTATTAATCCCAAAACAAAACGTTTACATTATATATTATATATGTGGCAAAAGTTAGGCTCTTCATGTTCAAGTTAAGCGTGGAGGGTTTTGGCCTATCCACACACACACAAGGTGTCCTTAAATGAAGATGGCCACACTTTAAACGCTCAGTAGATTAGATGAGTTGCATAAGTTACATTCACCTGCTTCAGCAAGTCCTCCACTTTGCCCCGAAGACCTCTGAAGCCGAATGGTGGCGGGTACAGGAAGAGGTCCTCGGAGAGCGTCACGTCCTTCCACAGAAAGGGCCGGGTCACGTGACTGGAAGCCGGGAGTCGGGCCGACAAGCTCAGCCGGGTGCTGCCGGGACGACACGGACTCTCCAGAACGCTGCGCACGTGCTCGTGCACCTGCTGCGAGGTCATGAAAACACAGTGAGAGCTTGTTTTAGAACAGTTATCTTGAGTTCATAGTTCATAGGCCAGGGTTAGTCAACAGTAATAGTAGTACAGTTCAGTCATTGCTTCATGATCCACGGCGTACTGCTTAGAAGCTAAACAGGTGGTTAGAATGTAAATGCTTGTATTGAGGGTTTCATTAGTTACAAAAGAGCTGTCAGCAGTGCGTAGTATTCATGTGGGCTGCATTTAGCAGATCCCGTATCTTCTCTTCGGCCCAAACCTGTGTCTACCTCAACAGGCAGCCAGGAATCCCTGCGTTTCGCTCGACTTCCTGCGATTGGGATTACAGTTATGTTCTCACTGCAATCCAGAGACCGAGGCTGCTGGTGAGAGCTGGTCTGGGACCATTGTCGAGCGAACCCCAGCACGGTTGTTCTGGTCCGCACTAGAGTGTGATTACTGCGTTCACACCTCCTCAAACGACCCACACCAGACAGGACAAAAGTTGAGTCAGACCTGCAGTCAAATCGGACGTGTTTCTCAAATCACATATAGATATAGTCCGTGTCAAGACACAAGAATTTTCCCTCTCGCGCTGCCAAGCATGACCGCAGGGTGAGCGCCGGGCTTCTAAGCTCATTTTACGTAGTGGCCAAACGGTGCACATGCTGTGTGGGGGTAATGAGGAAGAGACAGGGAGTTTGATTTGAATTCTATTCTCTGAGTCAGACTTGTTTTGCATCCAATGCTGTAAGTCGCCGTGCAGATCTCCTCCACCAGAAACACTCAAAGATGGAGGCCGGTTTACATTGCTCCATTAGGGGGCAGTGCCAGCTGACAGACTGTTTCTCCTCCTCCGTTATTAGCAACTGTTGTTCCGTCCAAGATGGAGGACAAGTAGGTGAGGTAGACTTGTCTGATGCATACTGGACATTTTTTATTCAAATTAGTATGACATCAGAATATTGTAGGTTTTGCTTGCATACTTTATTTTGGCCAAATCAGCACGTACTGATGTGGTTCTGAATACAGCCAGAGAAACTAGAATTCATTTGTATTTTTGTGTTTGATACGAAGTGTAAGAATATTTCCTTTCCTGAAGCTAAGAGCTTATGGAAGTAGCGAAGCTCACCGCTCAAACACATTTCCCAGCTGAAACGTATCACCCAACCCCGTTATCTGTATCACATTGTCAGGTTTACTTCCACTTCCAAATACGTTCAGGACACAGAAAACATGGAAGCCTGCTAGACGCTCCGCTCTACCCGGCCTCTCACCTTTCTATGTGCATGGTCCACGTGCCAGTCCAGAGGTTTGCTCGTCCCCGTCTCCGTCCGTGGCAGAGAGACCATCCACAGCAAACCTAAAGCCACAACCACTACCACCACACACCTGCACACACACACACACACACACACACACACACACACACACACACACACACAGAGCAATGTTGGGATCTGACCATGTAGCCCCGACATGTGGTCTGAAACAAAGAGAATCAGGCCTTCCCTTTTGCCGGGCAAAGGGTTCATCCTGATTTGAGTTTGATAAGCATTCAAACCTCCCAGAAAGAAGTTCACATCAAGGTGTGAACTCGTCACGCAATGCAACACTGCGATCTAATTGGCCGAGAGCCACAGACTCCCCAGGACCCCTGTAGTTCAGCCTCTGTTTCGATAAAACAGTCTTGCTCCTTCAGCTCTATGCTCTTCCTCGACCACCTCGGTTGTGCAAGGAGGCACAGGTAACGTTGTTTTACCAGAAACCCCCTAGGTTAAACAATTTTATATTCGCTGGACGAATCCACTAACTGTTTATCTTGTTCATTTTATTTCGTTCGCATCCTGGAAGAGGAAGCGAACCGTCGTAAGGACGTTGTTCTCTCAGTCTTCCCCCTATACACACACTTACTTCCCCCCCTTTTCATAGTATTTTGATTTTAGATAGCGTGCTCATAAAAGTAGAGTTGTTGTCAGTTTTAGATATTAGTATTAGAACGTAATAAACTCTGTTATATTTTAAAGAGCAGCTGTCTGTGATTACTTTGTGCATGTGTATTGTGATAATAGCTGTATATGTGGTCTGTGCTCGAACTTAAACCTTCACTTTCACTCTGAATGTGTAATAGTACTCAGACTGTTGACATTGTGAGTGAACACTAATTATGAGACTTAGTTTATCGTTTGGTTATTGGTCCCTGTTCGCAGGGTGGTGCCCCGTTATTAATAATAATCATTAATAATTGTTACTGACATTAATAATTCTATTGATGTCAAGAATTTAGTTTCTTAGATGCTGATAACCCAAACACGCTCCTTTACGTTCCCAACAGCAAGATGGAGAAAGGGGAAGATGCTGACAAACGGAAGTAAATTTGCAAAACATATGCAAATCACATGTAAAGCATTCAGAGGTCACCTGTTACAACGCTGAAGATCACTGAGCAAAGTGTAGGGTCTGTGCATGAGAACTACGGGAAACAGATACTATATGCAGCACGGCCATGAACCACAGAGTGGTTTCACAGCTACAGGTGCGCCGCTGTCAGAGAGCGCACAATTACCACACGTAAGCTCATTCTCGTGTGTGAACACGATCCCCCTGCAGAAAGAAGACTCCTGACGCAGCGAACAGTGATCGCTCATTCTTGAGAGTCGGCACAAAACCATATTTGGGGTTTTATCTATTTATTTTATTCTTAAAGAACATTTTATTTGCAGGCAAGGAACGGACTTTTGTCATCGGGCACACAAAGAGTCAAAGTATTAGAATAACATGAAGGGAATGTTTTTGGACCAGTAATGTAAAGGTTCATCTCGTTGAGACACTGGGGCATGGCTGGTAATTATGAAGGCTGAGCCGGTATGCCTGCTGAACTCACTAACCCTGAGGCCCCGGAGCCATGTGATGTCTCACAGTCCACGCCTGTCTTATTTATGGTGCTATTGCTTCGTGACACTGGAGACGCATCAAAACAAAAGGAGAGGGAAGAGAGGTGAGGGAGGAGCAGTACACCCCATGTACAGTGAATAGGTGCTGTCATATAAGACTGGACTGAGATCAGTGGATGATCAGCGATCAAGAGTTCTGGCGCAAGTCACGGCCTGACATGATGAGACGGCCCGTTTCAGTGGAAAACCCTCTGACCACAACAACACTTACAGCATGAAGTGACTCCTACAGTGAGGCTGGTGTTTACTCTGCACCACGCTGGAAACATGCTGACGGCATGGCAGGTGCACAGCACAAAACACAGATGCAAAAATGTCGCTGAGCACCTTCTGCATAGAAAGATCGGAGAGATAATTATCAGCAACAAGCTGTGTGTGCCTCGACAGGTGAAACGAGATGTGAGAATACACTGCAGCAGCCTTCTTAGCCAATGCCCAGGGACCATAAATACTTCAGTGTGGTTTCAATGTGCAAAACACGAGTGCAGTGACACGTCGAATAGCAGGTTGGCCGACTAGCCACTTAAGTCCCTCGGCTCTATTTATTACAGCGTGTGCTTTGTAGATGCAAGTAACTGAAGACATGTTGGGAACTTATAGCGGTGATTAAAGCCTCTTCTGGAGTAAATTCTAGAAGCCCTGTTTTAGTGGAAAGCATTCTTACGCCGTCTGGTCTTGTAGTAAAAAAAAAGCCTTATTGGATATTTAACTCTACATCGATATTCACGTACACATTATACATATATTTATTTCCACTGGTCTTTCGGTGTTGTGAATGAATAAAGAGCATTGTTTTCCCAGCTTTTTGTTGCTCCGTTGACAATTACACTCCACCCAAATATAAAATAAATCTGAACTGCCACATCTGGGTTCATACCGTAGATTTAGAGCGCTCGTTTTTTTAAATAAATGCTATATTTCCTTTTAGACATAAACAATATGGCGGTGACTATGATATCACCATCCAAGACCTTCAGGATGGTGGTACCTAAAAGAGAACAGCAGCTGTCTTTGTGTTGTGTAACGTGAGCCTCACCTGGGCGCTGCCCAGCATTTAGGAAGCCTCATGCTGGTCTCCTCCACAGTAGAATCTGAGAAGGCCTCTGGTGTCTGTGAGGAGGGCGGGGCGCTCTCAGGGATCTGGTCCTGCACACACAGGGACAGTCATATATACAAGTCTATTAGCCACGTTAAGGAACAAAGCATTATGGGAAACTTACTCATTAATGAAGAAGTTACTTTTTAGATCCAAGCACAGTGATGGCATGCAACAGCTGTCTGAGGACATATTTGCAGTGTGGGACACTCAAGCTGGCAGCACAACATTTTAATGCACAACTATGAAAAAAGTATTTGAATCCATCTCTGAAATAAATATCAAATTACTTACATTAAGATACTAAGTAAAGGTCCCATATTTAAACTTGTACTTATGTGACAATGTGCAGGTTAAAAAATACACTCATTGTGCTGAACTTTAATATTGTGAACACTATGTTATTGTTCTATTACTGTATCATTACACATTACTGGTGGAGCACATTTAACTCCTTTAACGCTACATGTGTGCATGTGTAATGGTTATAGTCTACTCTATAGTGTTAAAGTCATAACTCATAAACGGTTCATATGTTATAACATACATTTTATTTCTCTAAAACCGTTACTAGCGTTAGTGACGTCGTCCCTCAGGTGTGGAGAAAGTTTCTCTCTAAAATGTAACCTAAAAGTATAGAGTAGAGATGACGTCCGCGTACGCGAAAAATGTAGCTAACGTTAAGTATATCTACCAGTTAATGAGACAACTTTCACTGACGACAATAACAAGAACGACAAATTCACGGCAAATTAACGTTGCTCCAAAGGCAACCGTCTCTCCAACATTGAAACGTAGATATCGTTAACTTGTTACACGTTGTTGGGAGATATTAGTTGCTCGTACGGAATGTTTTTTGGAACCAAAGTTTAACATTTTTGTAGATACACAAGTGGAGCCCTCGCGACCGCCCCGCTCTGTGGAGTCTCAGGAAAGCCGTTCAAGATAACGGCGCTAACAATGCGCACTAACAATCCGCACTAACAATGCGCACGGTACATTGATTTAACCGCAGCTCGGAGCCTTCCGGATGAAATAACGACTTAGGTAAAGTTAGAAAGATATTGACAGATTCGGACTTCCCGGTTCAATAAATCGTTAACGAAACGTTGCTAAAATACAAATGATACCTCCCTGTAACCGTAGTGAGGTAGACAACAAGCTACAACCTTAATTTAATTAAAACGGGCCGTCTTACGGACTCCTCCGAGCTGTACAATCGGCATTGGTCTCAATGAGTGATGAGCGATGCGCAGGGACCGTCTACAAAGTGCAATGCGGAAAATACCTACTACAACAATATTCAATAGCTTCACTGTCATGCAATGTAGTGTAACCAAAATCACTTCACACATCAATGGGCTCCTCTTTGTTGTACTACAAGTGTTATTTTGAAGAAAAAAAAATGATTTAGATAAATTTTAGTGAATATTTATTGAAAATAATAATCAATAGCTTTACTGTTGATAAGTGTAGCATGACCAAAATCACTTCATATATCAATGGGCTCCTCTTTGTTGTACTACAAGTGTTATTTTGAAAAAATATGATTTAGATTAATTTTAGTGAATTTTTATTTAAAATAATATTCAATTACTACAACAATATTCAATAGCTTCACTGTCATGGAATGTAATGTAACCAAAATCACTTCACACATCAATGGGCTCCTTGTACTACAACTGTTATTTTAGTTTCACCAGACTTGTAGATGGTTATTTATAAATCAGCTCATGGACTCATTTTCACAATGTTGTTACAGCATGACAATGTGTGTATATCCTTTGTTGAAGATGAAATGAGTGAACTGCTTATGATGGCTCTTATCTTGATGTATGTGGTACTATATTTTTATTCGAGACAAATACACAATACCAAACATAGGTTCACAATTGCACTAGTTTATTTATTTTATTGGTTTATTTGATAAGGGACAGTGCACATTAATAAAAACATTTCTGTAAATGCACCAGAGTTAGCCAAGAGGCTATTTTTCATCTGTAGTCCCAAGAGGCAGATGTTACAAAATAAACCTAAAAACAGAATGTAAGATTACATTTAAAAGGTTATACAATATTGACGCTTTACAATGCATGCACAAACAATGAAAAAAGTGAGAATATTAATATATGTAGTATCACCATTCAGGAGACTCTTAAACATTGTCAAGTACTAACAAGACATGCAACACAGAGGCTCTCAAAATTCAACACACACAAGCAAATAAAGTAAGAGATAACTACAGGTGCATCTCAATGAATTAGAATATCACCGAAAAGTTAATTTATTTCAGTAATTCAATTCAAAAAGTGAAACTCATATATTATATAGATTCATTACACACAGGGTGATATATTTGTTGGGAACATAAAGGAGCGTGTTTGGTTATCAGCAAATATGAAACTAAATCATCAACGGAGTTATTAATATCAATAAGTGAATTAGTAATTACTAATAAGAACGGGGCACCACCCTGCGGACAGGGACCAATAACCAAACTATAAACTAAGTCTCATAATTAGTGGTCACTCACGATATTAACAGTCTGAATACAATTACACGTTTGGAGTGCGAGTGAAGGGTTAAGTTCGAGCACAGGCCACTACATCCAGTTGTTATTACACACTTATGCACAAGTAATCACAGACGACTGCTCTTTAAAATATAACAGAGTTTATTAAATCAAAAATAATAAATGATCAAATCAAGTAATATCACAATCAACAAACGCTATCATACAATGATGTGTCTAATACCTAAACTCAAATGAATAAAGTGGGGTAAGGATATGTGTATCGATATATGTACGTGTGTGTGTGTGTGTGGGGGGGGCCTACTCAACAGTGATGGTGGATAATCTCAATAGGGGCGTGTGAGCCTACAGGCAAAGATGGCGGAGTCTAGGGACCGGCGACCAAAATGGTTGAGAGGTGGCTGCTATCACCACGTGGACACGGCGTACCATGTGGGTTGGGGTCAGAGATTACGTAATCACGAGTCTGAGAGGTTCACCCAAAATCAGTAGCTCTAACTACGTGTGTGTGCGGGTTAGTAGAGGGAGAGAGAGAGACGAGCTCGGAGCGCGGTGCTCTGCGCAGTAGTGAGGAAGTGAGGAACAGCACGCTTTTACGGTGATAGCTGCGGTTCTAGATCTCACTCACTCGCAGAGCCGATTTAAAGAGGAGAGAATAAAACCAAAAACAAAATAAAAGAATCCCCAAAACAAACAGATCTTTGTCACTGCGGTGAAATGCGAGTTTGTCTCCCTATCACCCCGAAACTCGGTCGGCCAGACGAGAGTCGGCCACCGTAGTTTTAGTTTTTAAAGTGATAGAATCACAAGCTCCACATCCACTAGCAGCGACGGATCAAATGCGAATGGTTACAGCAGGAAATACACAATATAACGGGACTCCGTGGTCCGCGATGCTGGCGTAATAACACGTTATAACACGACAGTAACTTAACACAACAAGATACAGGAATAACAACGACATAAATGAATAGTCTATATTAAGCTAATGCTAAGCTAGGTGTGCACTAAAGGGTGGGAGGACGGGTCGTAGAGATTATCCGTTCTCGCACTACGGGATCCAAAACTCAAAATAAAACACAGTCTGTAGTTCGACCAGCGAATGTAACATGTGACCTGATAGGATTTGATGAGGCCGCGGCTCCTCGTGAATCTTCTTGTTGCCAGGACGAGGTCCGGAGGGAAGAGGCTGAATGGCGTTTCCTGCTCGCTTATAAACCAGGTCTCGAACCCAGTGGGGGGCCACTTCTTGGCCAATGAGGGGCCAGGATCAAGTTTTGGCTGTGCTGGGAGGTGTAGTCATTCATCTTGGAGTTTCCATCAGACGTCGTATGATAGGAAGGAGCATGGGTGCTTCTAGACTAGGGCCAGATCCCAACATATTTCATGTGTTTATTTCTTTTAATTTTGATGATGATGGCCTTCAGCTCGTCTGCATTGTTGGGTCTGATGTCTCTCATCTTCCTCTTGACAATACCCCATAGATTCTCTCTGGGGTTTAGGACAGGAGAGTTTGCTGGCCAATCAAGCACAGTGATACCATGGTCATTAAACATGTATTGGTACTTTTGGCAGTGTGGGCAGGTGCCAAGTCCTGCTGGAAAATGAAATCAGCATCTCCATAAAGCTTGTCAGTAGAGGGAAGCATGAAGTGCTCTAAAATGTCCTGGTAGAAGGCTGCGCTGACTTTGGACTTGATAAAACACAGTGGACCAACACCTGCAGATGACATGGCTCCCCAAATCATCCCTGACTGTGGAAACGTCACACTGGACCTCAAGCAACTTGGATTGTGTGCCTCTCCACTCTGCCTCCAGACTCTGGACCTTGATTTCCAAATGAAATGCAAAATTTACTTTCATCTGAAAAGAGGACTTTGGACCACTTTGGACCATTGAGCAACAGTCCTTTTTCTCCTTAGTCCAGGTAACTTAGCCCAAGTAAAACGCTTCTGACGTTGTCTCTGGTTCAGGAGTGGCTTGACACAAGGAATGCGACAGTTATAGCCCGAGTCCCGGATACGTCTGTGTGTGGTGGCTCTTGAAGCACTGACTCCAGCTGCAGTCCACTCCTTGTGAATCTCCCCCAAATTCTTGAATGACCTAAATCCCAGAGATAATCTATGGGGTATTGTCAAGAGGAAGTTGAGAGACATCAGACCCAACAATGCCGACGAGCTGAAGGCCCCTATCAAAGCAACCTGGGCTTCCATAACACCTCAGCAGGGCCAGTCTCATTGCCACCGTGCCACGCTGCATTGATGCAGTAATTCATGTAAAAGGAGCCTCGACCAAGTATTGAGTGCATACTGTATATGGACATACTTTTCAGTAGACCAACATTTCTGTATTAAAAATCCTTTTTTTTAAAATTGGTCTTATGTAACATTCTAATTTTGTGAGATACTGAATTTGGGGTTTTCATTAGCTGTAAGCCATAATCATCAAAATTAAAAGAAATAAACGCTTGAAATATATCACTCTGTGTGTAATGAATCTATATAATATATGAGTTTCACTTTTTGAATCACTGAAATAAATTTACTTTGATGATATTCTAATTCATTGAGATGCACCTGTATGTTAAATAGAAACATTCACTAAAGAGAATATTATGCTGTAGTTTTTAGACACTAAAAAAACATCCATGTCAGAGGCACAAAACATAAAAGCATGCAGAGTATGTGAAATACATAAATCAGTCAGACACAGCTAAACAACAATAAAAGACAAGCATGCAGGTAGATGAGGGTCGACCGGCAATTTCAAGACAGACAGACAGACGAGGGAAAGTTCAACACGGACAGAGAAGCAGCTACATTCTAGTGCTGACAGAGTTGGGTACTAACTAACCATTTCTTTAATTGAGCTTTAAATTAACTGTATGTTTGTAGTTCTCTAATGGTTACTAGTTTGACTAAATCACTGATACTTTAATGTCACTTGGAATCGTCACCAGAAAGAGAATTTGACAGCACCTGTCAAAAGTGATTTTGGTCACACTACACAATAACAGTAAAGTTATTGAATATTATTTCCAATAAAAATTAACTAAAATTAATCTAAATCATATTTTTTCAAAATAACAGTTGTAGTACAACAAGAAGGAGCCCATTGATGTGTGAAGTGACTTTGGTTACACTACATTGCATGACAGTGAAGCTATTGAATATTGTTGTAGTAGGTATTTTCCGCATTGCACTTTGTAGACGGTCCCTGCGCATCGCTCATCACTCATTGAGACCAATGCCGATTGTACAGCTCGGAGGAGTCCCTAAGACGGCCCGTTTTAATTAAATTAAGGTTGTAGCTTGTCTACCTCACTACGGTTACAGGGAGGTATCATTTGTATTTTAGCAACGTTTCGTTAACGATTTATTGAACCGGGAAGTCCGAATCTGTCAATATCTTTCTAACTTTACCTAAAACGTTACACCAGTAATACGGCCCGTGGATATTAAATACCTATTGGGGACGGAACTCTAATAACTTTACCAAAGACCACCTAAAAGCGGAGCAAAATATAACGTTTGGTAGCAGCAGCGACAATTAGAAATATGTTAAAATGCAGCTAAAGCAGCGAGCTAGCTCCCGTTAAGTTAACATCGTTCCTCGGTCTATTTACAGGGACACAGAGGCGAACATTAATCGTTAACCGTTTTATTGCTCCAAAACACAACACGCGCTGTTTTGCACTCAATACTACAATACTATCCTTTACACTACATGTTGTCGTCCTCCATGTATCGACTTGTTCACTTACCCTGGTATGGAACCCACCGTTTGGGCATAACGAGTCCTTTAGACAGAATAAGTGATCAGCGATGTATTCCGTGGCTTCTCATCCCAGGCTCGCTCTTCAGGCGGAGGGCCAATCAGCGACAGAAGCTGTCGCAATCATTTCCGGTCTTGCGTAATAAGAGCCCAGGACATCTGCCCAGTTATCTGATCATTGTACCAGTGTTCCCCTTAAAGTTAATTTATTAACAAAACAATAAAAATAATAACACGTTGTTCTGTACACATTTATAAGTTGAATGTTATTATTAAATACAAAAAAGGGTTGCTTGTCTAACAGATGTGTGGATATGCATCCGTTTGTAGAATTATACAGTGATTTAATTTGCCAGACAGAGCTTTAATTGTTTTACATTAATTCTCGACTGAATTAATGCAGATTTTTTTTAATTTTTTTTTTTTTTAAATCAAAACCTCAAATATTAAAGAACATTTGGCAGGAGCAGACAGTCACATCCACCACATTCAGTACAAAGTGAGATACAATTTATTATTCTTATGTATTTGTGAAAGAACTAGAGTTTCATAGGATTTTGAGTCAGCAGAACTGAAAGCTCTGTGATCATATCAGTCCACATGAAGTGTCCCTATTTGCCACATCCATCCAACCGGACTTCTGGTCTCAATGTCTCCTCTCCTACTGCAGAGGCTGTTTCAGATCAAACAGTCCTGTTCCACCTTTCACCACCTTCCCCACCACGATGCAGGCTGATGGTGACACCAGCTGATCGTGTGACCCTGAAAGAGGAGGGGAAAAACAGCCATGAACAAACAAAAAAAACCACAAAAGGGAAGTGCAGCGGTGGCTCCAAGGTTCAAGGAGAACAAACGACTTCTGACAGCAAACAACAACGGCTCCGAAAAGAAACTGCAGAGACGATCGCCTTATGATTACTCCTATAAAATGTAATTATTTAACTCGACTGCGCTCGTTTGAATCTCAGAAATTGGAATGCTCCATTTCCATTACAGGTACTTAACATACATGTTACAACGGCTTCACTGTCACATGTCTCTTCTCACACTCAGTCAACAAATGGGTAGATAACATGTTTTTCTCTCTTTCTTGCATAATCATTATCTTCCGTTTCCTCACCCAGCATGGTCGCCTGTTTGAGGAATTTATAGCTGGTCTCGAAGGTCATCTGCTGCAGAGGGGACGAGTTGGACTGGATGGCGTGCCGGTTCAGTGGCTTATACACGCCTTCGAAACACATGTAATCTGCTACCAGGGACAGATGTCTGGGGTCCACCTCGATACCTGGACACAAGACAGAGAAAAACAAAACCTGAGCGGTTCCGACAGCCATGTGGTCTGCTATCTGGGAATTGTTCTGTGTGTGTGTGTGTGTATGTGTGTACCATAGACGGCAAAGACATCTTTGATCTCCTTCTCTATGACCTTCAGAGCCACTTCAATCCCATATGTTTTCGCCATGGCATGGACCTCATTGGAGTACAGTCTGTTGATGTCCAAGATCTGGAGGAAAAATGTAGTCTCAATGTTGGGATCATCACCAACCCAAGATAAAAAATAACTTAATATACAATAACAATTTTGAGCAATTAGCCCTAACCAAAGGCTCTTTCATTATGAAGTAGCTACATTTTATTTTTTAGCATTTAAACGGTGCTTTGCAATATTTGAATCTACTGCAAAGACTTGCCTGAGTCACATTGTGACCAACACATTTGAATAGTCACAAGTCTGAATCAGTTATCTGAAAAGATTATTTTAATACGACCAACTGTAACTGTTATCTGCAGTCATGCTTTTTTTTTTTAATGAATGTAGTCAACGGTCAAAACGGAAGTAGATACGACCAACTGTAACCGTTATCTGCAGTCATGCTTTTTTTTTTATGAATATAGTTAACTTCTCTGTTCCGCTCTGAGCAACTGCCCTTCGCCCCTAAAGCCACAGTGTGGTCTCATGTTGAAAAAAACGTACATCGCTGTGGTTGAACATTTCCTGCATGTTGATGCCTTCTGTGTTGAGCACCGTCTCCTTCTCTCCACTCTTCGTGGTGGTTTCGCCTAGCAGGCAGCGAGTCAAGCCTTTGGTCTCCACGATGACGGCGTTCTGGGCCAGCGTCAACAGGACCGAAGTCAGGTCAAAGTGCACCTTGCTCACCGGTAGGACCAGGTCCACCTATGAACGGGAGAGACGAGAGGCGGATGAAGGGAATGAAGGGCAGTGTGTGCGAAATACCTGGTGGAACAGACTCGGTACACAACGTACGAGACATCGTGGATGCAAGCCAAGCGACTCGCCTATACATGCTTTGTGCTCACATCGCTACGCCCAATACCGCTAACGATAAAGCCACTCACACAACTACGCTCTGCAACAGGATCCACACAGCACACTCGCCTCTCTCTAACCAGACACACAGATCTGGGCTTAATTGTTTTATATATATATATATATATATATGTGCATAGTTGCTAATTGTAATGAATCAGCTGGTATTTTGCAAGTGCTTGAAATGAGAAGAGAATTTAACAAAACATCCAGCATGTGTTGGAATAAACTCAAAGTGGAAATTGAGGAGGAGGTCCCCGCTGGGAGCCGACACGGCGCTGCCAAAGACCTCGGCCGTATTGCTGGGCCTGCTGGGGGGGTAAGGGAGGCACGGGAGAACCAGGACTGAGCGTATCAGATTGTCAGACCCTGCTGCAGTAAAATTAAGGTTTTCTAAAGGGAGACTGGTGCTTGGAAACACTACCACTTCCATCCACAGGGACCGCCAAAATCACCACTAAATGAACGTTGCTTGTAGTAACATTTGCCAGACTTTAACCAGCTGCAATTTAATGTGATGTATACAGTAATGCATCAATCATTACAATCCATTAATATAATATGTGCTGTTCTGAAATAGGGCCTTCTATATTATGACAATTTTTTACTTTTAAAAGATTCTGAATGCACAACTTTTACTTGTAACAAAGTATTTTCTCACTGTGGTATTACTATTTTTACTTAAGTAAAAGTTCTGAGCACTTCTTCCACAACTGATTTGGGCGACCCACGAAAAACTTATAAACCAGCAGCTCCCAGTTTTTACAGCATAGGTAAGGGTGTTTGAACCAGGCTTCGGTAAAGACAAATGACTTGGAGTAAATGACTTAAACAGTATGCAGTTATTAAGGTAAGAAGATAGACTTTAGTTTCTTTTTAAACAGTTAATTGAATTAACTGTAAACATGACATGATCTTTTATGTTAACAGAGTGTCAGCCACAACACTCAGACTGCAGTCACCACCACCACCGTGGGCCTCTCGCCTATAAGAGTACAAGCACTATTTCCCCTTAGGGACTCAATCTCTAAACTTGATCTCAATATTGGTCAGGATTTTATAAGAAGTGGTGCGTGTTTGTGTGAAGCGCACCGCTTCCTACTGATAGCTGTTTGAGGTTTGAAACTGAAAAAAAACAGCATCATGAAGTGGTTCCATCAGTAAAAGAAAGACTATTTTGGAAATCCGCCAGGGGGAAATGGATGTAAAATGCTCCAACTAGAAGTTTCCACGTCCGAGGTGGATGGCCTCGTGTCTTAGGAAAGATTATGGGATTGTGATGATGTAATAAGCCATGATGACGTTGCTTCATTGCTTGCTTTACAGTCGTGGAGAGGATTGAGCTGCTTGAGGCTGTGGCTACACTGACTGCTCTCAAGTGTCAACATGTAAACCTAGAATTCTTATTGTCTGCCAAGGCGCATTACCACCAAGGGAATCTTAGTCCTGGGACTACTTTTCAAGGAAATTAAACTTGTTTTTCAAATGCAGGAACGTTGCCTGGGGACTGAGATCGTTTGGAGGATCTCATTGCTTTTCGGGGCAATACTTTCTAAAAGTACAGGAACTTTCGGGTGGAGTTTTCAGGGATGACCATCCCCGATTGGTCCAACACACACACAACACCGCCGCTTCATTCATAAAACAAGGAGGTACTCAAGTATCAATTTTGGACCATTTCAGGACATGAAGAGAGCATTTCTTCTTGTTTGATAACATTAAAAGTAAAGTAAACCTCACGGCTGTATTCCTCCGCCAACTCGTCAGGTTTACATCCATGTCCGTCCAAAATGTCATCACATTTGTGTGAAATTGTCATAATTAGCGTATGGATTCTTGGTGGACGTTTGTGCCAAATGTGAAGACGTTCCCGGGAATGGACCGGACGGACATAGGTCATTTGATTTAAGTCTGTTTTTTGGATGAAACTTGCAGGCAAACTGAACCGCAGTGTTTACCTTTACGACCACCAGCGGCCTTCGTCCCGTCATGTTGCTTTTTCATATGTCAGCGGACTCATTTTCCTAATCTTTGTGGGTCTTCACAGACAACAATGGGCTGAATGAACCTTTTAGTTCCTTGAAAAGTTTTCCCAAAACTAAAAATTAGCGGGAACTTCTGAAGCGCGGCTCTCGTAACGCATACACACTCACCTCACACCAGAGCTCGTGCTGTAGATCGTAGCGATACCTCTCTATCGCCGGGTTGGACTCCAGAACCGAGTTCATCCTCATCTGATCCAACGTCTCCTCTCCGTCTCCTCCCCCTCTTACTGCTCGTTTCGTCCTCCTCTTCGCTCTCACTCTTGCAGGCTCTGGCTGGGGCACCTCCGGCGTGGTCTCCTCCTCCTCCTCCTCCTCCACCCCCAACCCTTCGTCCTCCCCCTGATCTTCTTTATCCTCGGCATCGTCAGCTCGGTCCTCTTCCTCGCTCTCATAGTCCACCTGCAGAGGAAAACAGAGATGGGAGTTAATGGTTTTAAAATGGCAAAACTGCACTGGTGCTAGATTTGTCATACGTTTTTAATTATAGTTTAACCCTCCGAACCCAAAAACCCACTGCCTGGATTGAAAAGCAAGTTTTCTTTAAACAATGGCCAAAACTACACTGTTCGTTTTAGCCAGAAGCCGTAAGAACCATCATTATTGTCATATTATCATCTTTCCGACGGTCCTTGAACACATCATGTGCGACCAACGATAATATTGATATTTCATGAAAACATTTTATATAAAACTTCGCCCAAATAAACCTTTTGCTTTAACCAGATCCTGTAAAAAGCATTCAATTCTGTGTTTCTCAGCGCAACTATGAAGCCATGATTGATCAACAGTCACAAGACAGAAATTCTGTGAAACCTTGATGAACTGCATGCTGCTATACAGATTGAGCAGAGGACAGGAGAGACTAAGTAGAGGTTGTAAAAATGTAAAAATTGTATATATATATATATATATATATATAC